AAATTATTCAGTGGGCCGTGGTATCACTCATTTAGCGAGAAAATTCTTTGATTTTTCATGAATTTCATTTTACGTAGCTAGCTAGCAAGCTAACTATGTCCTAATCCAGTGGTTCTTAATCTGTCTTTGATCGAATCCTAGTGTTTTGGTGAGTATCTATCTATCTCTCTATCTATCTATCTATCTATCTATCTATCTATCTATCTATCTATCTATCTATCTATCTATCTATCTATCTATCTATCTATCTATCTATTCATCCGGTGTAGGAATGCAGAAGAAACCCAAGCTACACGTAGATGAGTAATACGCGCTGACTGAATGACAAGTGCATTGTGCAGTAAATGGTAAAATATTTATAGAACTGTATTAGTAGTCCATTTAGAGCAAAAAGCACTGGTTCCTGTGATACTTTTGTCAAGCGTAAATCAACAGAGCAGGTGACTTGCACCGCAAATAGTCTGGAAGAGTAGGGGAGGGCCACCCCGAAAATGTACCACAACAGCATCAGACCGCGCACTCCCCCCTACCCTTCTGCTCCGTCCATCCCGGCCCCCTCTTGGGAGTCGGTCTGTCCACAAAAGCGTGGAGATTGTTCAATTGTGGAGAAAATGCTACAAAATGCTTTCTGACACTTTTTTACCCGAGCGCGGGAAAAGCTTTCGCTCACCACTCAAGTCCTTGTGCATAGCTAGCTAATAATTACAAGTGTGGACTTGATTCTTTCCTACCGTTTCTGAATCAGCTTTTGGGATTAAGCGTTCGTGTCTGAGTATGTCGGAAGGTGTTTGTCAAATGTGCGTCAGCGTTGTAGCGGTAACACACAATTGCGGGCGCCTCGCATAGGAGAAGAGCACACATTCATCAAGTTTAACTCCCTGCCACTGATGTTGGGAGATAAGCTTGGGTGCCTTCCAGAAAGACTGTTAATCAAAATGATGCGCAGGGCAAGGCATGAACTGCTGACTTTATTGTGCACGCCGTCTGATCCACTTGGTGTTTGTTTATCTATGCACAACATAGGGGAGTCACTCTGCCGTGAATGCACACACATGCGGGCATTTTTATGAATATTATATTTCCATGTGGCTTTCGGGCTAAATCGTGATTAAAAACATGACTTTCAAGAGTGTGCTATAACCGATAACTTGAAGTTGAAAGGTGTATGGATTCATTCCGAGTTTGTATTTTCCCAATTTTCTTGAAGTCAGTGTTTAATATGTGCGCATTGCTACAAGTTTAACTGACTTCTGCGAGCGCGGCTCCCCTTCCTTTACTGCTCGGCAATAAAAGGCTCCTGGAGGAGGTGGCGAAACACGCTCGCACCCTTGTTTAATTGTTTTTTGGCACCACTTCAGAGCCACACTCGACGCTGAGACCTGGGCGGAGGTGAACCGCGCAGGCAGCAAGCATCTCGAGGTCCCCTGTACGCGAGAGGTCGAGTGGAGGATGAGTGCACTGATTCGTGCTACGCCAAAGGTGTCCAAACTTTTTCCTCCGAGGGCCGCAGACAGAAAAATTGAAGGATACAAGACATTGACATTGTTCAAAGCAGCCTTTGCTTGGAGATTATTAATGTGATATGTTTGCAAATGGAAAGTGGGGGCAAAATATTTTGGCATCTTTCACTGAATGTCGTTGTGAGAGAAACACACACACAAAAAGACACATCGTGTATTTAACCGAACCACCAAGTCTGCTAGCTTAACACTAACTCACAACACAATATGTCATCAAAGGGCTAATTGAGCTAGCATCTCTGCTGCAATAATTATAAACCTGTAAACAACTACAACTGATGACAAGCGGCAGCAACACATGCGGACGGAATATAAAACACACTGGCATATATTCCTTATCCTCTGCGCAAAACCACTAATATTAACACAGTTAGCGCTGACGATCTTCTGTGTTTCATCATCAAATCGAGAACTACTTTAGTACGTTAGTATGTATCATACTGCCCCCTTGTGAACACACTGAATTATCATGACACACGTGATGTTTTCTTTACGTTCTATGTAATTCCATATAATTACAGTTTTTTGTTTTTTTTAATCAAGTACAATGTTGTAGAATAAGGATGCTCTAGCGTGTGGCTTTGGACACCGCTGTGCAATGGGTTGCCCAATGTTAGGCAAACTTCCATTTTGGTCGTAGGCACACCTTTGTGTAGAGTAGCTGGCAAGAGAAAGTGACTGTTTCTCTTGGAAGAAAGTAGTCCATGCCCATGTGGCCGTCTCCCATCCATTCTGCCTGATCCTCATTCTCACCCCTTTTAACAGGGGCCAAGCTGTTAAAGACCCCATTACCGCGCCGAAGCACACATTTCGCATTTTCTCAGCGGACTTGAGAGCGCGCAGTGCAAATTTTATGTGGGAACGTATCAGGAGATAGAGTTCAGAGGGAAAGGGTGCTGGTGGTGGTGGTGGTGGCGGGGGAGGGGGGCGGTGAGTTGTACTCGCACGGTGGCGGGGCAGGCGGGGAAGTGGAATGGAAAAGGGCCAGAGTCGGGAGTCAGCGGGCGCTTCAAGCGTTAACGTAATTGCAAGAATGTGAAAAATGAGGAGGCAGGGCTCCCGAGTGGAGCAAAAGGTCAGAGCGCGGCGCACACAAAACAACTGGCTGGAGGACGGCCTCATTAGACCATTAAATCAGCTGACCCCCCTCTTGCGCCCTTCTCGCCTTCTGACTTTCTCTTCTTTCTTCTTCTTCTTCTTTTTCTTCTTCTTCTTCTTCTCTGCTGCTTACTGGGTGCAGGTGTTGGCATGGTATTCATGGATGACGCGCTCATCATTACATCTTCCTAATGACTAAAGCACTGTCCATGTCTTATGTGTTGTGTTATATTACCATATTTTGTTATTTTATATTCACTGTTCTGTAAAACGCAGCTGTTGTGAAAGTATTGTATTGTATTGTATTAATTCCTTCTAAGGTACAGGTAGAAAAAGTAGTTATATGTCTGAAGAGGAGGAGGAAGATAAGGATGATGATGAAGAGGATAATAAGCCTGATATTATTATTATTATTATTATTATTATTGTTGACAGGCAATGTGAATGAGGCGCTGGTGTCGGTCTTGGCCCGGCGCAAAGTGCCATACCGTAACTGTCTTTGGCCTCCTATCGATCGGCTGTTACTGGATACGGTGCGGATAGGAGTCGATAAGTGCTCTGTGGATTACAGGTCACTTGTACTTATGTGTGTAAGATAATCAATAGGCAGTGCATTTGTTTCTCTCCTGTCTCCCCGACCCGTCCCATCCCCATTGCTCTCTGCTTCCTGCACACAGCAGTCATCCGCTCTGCTGCAACAGATCACAGCATCGACGACCCTTCCAGACATTAAATACATATCGGAAAATCTTTTCGGTGATTATCGCCAGCCCTTTTTGCAAATGCAAGGTTGATTTCAAGTCACAAAGGAAGTCTGTGCTCAGCACAGTGTTAAATTCATAACTTACGGTGAAATATCACTATTTTTCCACCATTTTGTCAACATCACTCAAAAAAATGTTTATCAAAATTGTGTGGTGCGCTAGCTTAACATTTTGAACCCAAAAGTTAGCTAGGCAGCAATTCCTTTGCAAGCCAAAGATCAAGAATCTCCCTTATAATTGTCAGCTTTCTCCTAAATCAGATGTGATTTTAGTTGAAAATCACATTCAATTGTTCAACACGGAAAAACCCTCCACAATGGGATCAATAACATTCCCCCGCGATGGTTGTCAAGCGATCTCCTGGTCCTAAGGCCCGACTAGTCGCGATGCGGGTGACCACAGAGGTCTGCGGCTGGGTAATGGCTTGTCTCAAAGCAGCTTCGCCGCAGCGTGCGCCATCCATCAATACGTTTGATCACTTATTGGCAAAACGATACAACAGCCACGCTTGCTTCTGGTGTGTACAAAGAGTCTGTTTGTGTGTCAAGACAACGTGATGAAATTTTGTGCAAAAAGCCTGCACACATGCCAGAAGGCACACACGCTAATAAATAAATACATCCACATTTTAGGACACACTGGCGCGTGATCAACAATTTTTATCCAGCGTGCACGTGTTTGTGATCGCATCAAAATCGACAGTGAGCGTGACGAGCGAATGGCGACAGATACGTGTGACTGTCGCACACTATCTGTAACACATTCCAATACGTTTGTTTTGAAATGCTTTATTCCCGTTTGGCAGGTTGTGTGCTAGATAACACTAAGGCGTAATTATAGGCTGTTGTGTGCAGCAAACTTAATGTATTTTTTTATGTGACAGAGAACTGGCAGAAACGCACTATTAGTCACCAGTTTTTGTTCAAGTCTCAAAATAGTAAAATTTCTGGAAAGCCCTTTTTTTTCGGGTGTGTCGCTCGTGTCTGACTGTAAAAGTGGATAAGCGCCTTCATTTTTAGGTGTGACTGTGTTGACATGGACGCCAGTCAAAAGAAGGGATAATCCAAACACGCACAAGGAAGGGAGATGGCTCGGGATGTCATCATGCATTCTGGAAATGGGCGATTAAAAGGATCTCGATGTCAATGGTGGTGCTCATATGCAGTGGAACAGCTGAGGTCCGATACAGTCCAGAATTGATTTTTTTGGAAATAGCGGAAATTTTAATTATCTGTTCCAATTTAAAACCTTTACAAGCATTTTTTTCCCCGAATCAATATTTTAACATTACGGGCATCAGCCTTAATTTCAATGACAAGTGCGGTGAGTCGTGAGGTCAATTGTGGGCCTCGCACATTTTCCTCCCAATGATTATAAAGCATAAAAAGAAGTTGGCCACTATTGATATTTAATGAGACAGTTGTGTCACTATTGCATGTAGGACATGTATATCCTTTAAAAAAAACACACACAACTGTTATATTATTATATATATGTTGTTAGAAGGTATTTATTTCCCCACTGCATATGAACGATACTTAGCATGTAGTAGTACATACAGTATACTGTATATACCAATGGACGTGTTAGTGTTAATGCATCTCTGCATGGGACTCACCTTGCTCGCTGCTGTTGTCGCCGCTTTGCGACGCATGGCCCCCGCTGGAGGGCCCCGGCGTACCGGCTGAGTGCGTGGACGTGGCGTCGTCGTGGTCTCTCCAGGATGCCGGATTCTGAGGTTTTCCAACCGAGTTAACCAGCAACAGAGAGAGAGAAAAAAGAGAGGAAGACCATATAAGTGACATCTAGAAGGAATGGATCAATCGATCTAGCTAGCTAACTAGCTAGCTAGCGGTCTGTCTATTTTAGCCTAGCTCGACAGATTGCTAGTTAGCTAGCTAGCTGTCTACTTTAGCCTAGCTTGACAGACTGCTAGCTAGCCAGCTAGACATACAGATAGCTAGTTATCTAGCTAGTTTGTGAGATACCAATGCCTTAATCCAGTGGTTGTTAACCTCGGTTTGACTGAATCCCAGGGTTTTCGTGAGCCACTCTCGGGGTTTCAGAGAAGGTCAAATAGGCACCCTGTGTGCGTGTGCGTGTGCGTGTGTGTTTGTCCAGCAATGCTCTCAGCCTTTTGGCGTCACCAAGGTGTCCAAAGTCTTAAAGATGTTCTTACTGTTTGTTACAACATATCTTTACAAGCAATCCTTTGAGGGAGATAGCCATAGAAATGAAGAAAAGTAGCACATTTTTGCCACAAAAATGATATGAGAGTGTCAAATTCCAAAGGGAAGTCGAGCAATCCTGAACTTATCTGAGCAAAAGTTACACTGAATTGCAATAAGTATCCACTGAATCTCATGATTAGTTGGTTTTGTTCCTTTAACACAGTGATAACTGATACAATACGTACCTATGTTTTTTATTAATTATATTTCCCCCCCCGCCCCCAGTTACAAAGGGTATGTGAGACACTAATCTAACTGCTCCATTTTTGCCTGGACATGATTCTACACTGAATGGCACATGACACCACATATCTACTCTGCTTTTAGTCACTCACTATTTATTGAAACGGTTTCCATCTCTGCTGATTTTATCTAATGCGTTGCAGTATGCAGATTGAATGTTGTTTATGTAATCCTTGATTTTGTGTTCCTGGTCCGAAAAAATTGACCAGAGCCATTTCACGTTAATATTTTAACCACTTTTCCCTCATCTAAGGCGCTTATAAATAAAATGTATTATTATTATTATTACTATTATTGTTATTATTATCTACAATTCAAAAATCAAATGTGACCCTTGTGTACAAAAGTTTACACACTCCTGATCGACAAGCGACACACACACACACACACACACACACACACACACACACACACACACACACACACACACACATGACAAACAAACAAAAAAAAAAACAAGCACTACAGCATCTGGCGATCAGTCAAAAATGTGCAATCAAGGAGCTTCATTAAATCATGAGAACAGAATGCTTGCAATGCTGCGTCCTGCATGACAAGCTCTGCTGAGTAATTGTCTACACACACATGCACTGCAGTTCACGTTTGGCATTTATTTTTTTGTTATTGTTGTAACAACACTACCAAGCGAGACTTCCGTGTCAAGTGCGAAATACAGAGGTAAGACGTCCAAACACACCACAGCCGCCATTAATCATTACCGCTGTCAGGAGTGAAAATAAGATATGACAGTGATTCTCCTGCTAATCTGCCAAAAATGTGCACACGCCCACAGAGGCTCAAAAGGAATACACACACACACACACACACACACACACACACACACACACACACACACACATGCGCGAGCGCGACATTCACTTTCATAAATGTAGGTTGAGAACTGGAATGGTACTCATTCAGAGAGCAGGCCTCAGCCAAAGCCCAACAATAACACGAGTCAGTGGCAGAATACCATCTTCCTAGCTTAGCGGCTAATAACGAATACTGTGTGCAAGTAAAATCGACCAAGTACATATTTTTATAAACTTAAATGAAGGTTAGAAATTCGAGTCAAGGTACAGTTAAACTGTATACAAATTCAGGAACATCTTACTTGGTCCACAGGGAATTTCGCATGCCTCAGCTAGCTAAGCAACTAAAGGCCAGCACTTAGTGTTTGTTTATTTGTTTGTTTGTCTTTTTGAAATTCAATCGTTCATACATTGCAGTCACTACTGCTCCACTCCAGTGTTGTAGGTGGTGGTAATGGGAATTAACAACTGGTTGTCAACTGCCAAACAAAGGCAAATACTGCACATCCTCAACCAAAATGGCATGGCTTCCTCCGACATAGAAACAGCAGCTTTAACGTGGACCAGCTAGCTTAGTGGCCAAATAGGTCGGTAAGAGACCCCAAGCAAGTATGAAAATGCCTGAAAGTTCTTCATTGACATTTGAAAACAAATTCTCACAAAATTGGAACACATTTTCCATCCATAAAATAGCTAGCTTAGTACTTAAAGCATAAACGTACAAAAGAATGAACCGAACAGGAAACATGCACGCGCGGCTTTGTAAATGTGTTATACTTCCAATCAAAATTCAAATTTAAACGTATTCCAATCATGACAATGACAAGTCCTAAGTTGGGTTCGCTATTGTTCAAATGCGGTACTGTAAATTGGCTGTCAACTGCCAAACAAATAAAGAAAAACATGTCTGTACATAGTCCCTCATCAAAATGGCCTGTCTTATCATTGGGCAGGGGAATTTTTTTCATGAACTTGGCGGCTATGGTGTAAATGTTTTCATGCCCACGTGCAAACTGGCTCGTAAGATGACTTCACCCCCCCTTGTTCCCCTGCCTTCTCTTCTGCCTCCTTCCCTCCTTCCCCGGCCCACGAGGAAGCCGGCTACTCCGGCTGTTACAGGAAAGGCTTTATCAGTGCCACATGACGGCAGACTCGGGTTGGAATTTCCTCCGCCATTTCAGACTGACCGACGGCGTCACTCGCACAAAAATCGCTAGCCGATACCATTGGGGATGTCGTGAAAAGAAAAAAAAAAAAAGATCTTGGTGACTTAAATTCAAATGTGAGGCTGACGCTGCTCGAGTACCCCCGACAGTGGAGGGCCCCTTGAGTGGGGCCCAAGGCAAACAAACACGGGCCTGCACCGAGGCTTCCCGCAAACCTCAATCCACTTCTCAATTCCCGCCATGCCACCCCCCCCCCCACTTTGTTAGAGGCATGTATTTTCAAACAAGGAGGATACTGTACATACAGCAAAATAATAGATCTATATATTTTTTTTACGATATCATCTAAATTGAGGAGCCTGCCTGTGCTGGAGTGAGTTGTCCTGGAGGACGGCAGTCCCACATCATGTGAAGTTTTAGCGGGAGGAAATGGAGGCTATGAGACGAGCGGCTGCTGGCCTCCTCTGGGTGCCGAGTCCTGTTGTGCAGCGAGCGAGGGTCCTTTTATCTGTTAAAGGGGGCGCAGACGACTACACAAGGCCCTTGAACGCCCCCTTCGCCTGCATTCAAGGCTCTCTCAGCGTCAGCTGTTCACTGGATGGTGCTATGCGAGGGGGAAAAAAAAAAGAGCTTGGAAGGTTCCTCATAAGAGGGGCGCGACAAGGAAGCCCCGCGCAGAGGTTTTGGGCCTTCAAAGTGAGCCCAGGGGGAAAGTGGGGAAAGTGGTCGGCGCCTCAGTTCACTTTCTGGGCCACTGATGGACAAACGCTCTGATACACTTCACTAAAGTCTGTTGTCAGGGAGTTCATGCAGCGTTCATACAATTACTCACAAGTCAATTTCAAGCACTTCCCCAGCTTGTCGTAGCTTGCTTTTCAGTGAGTTGAAACCAGGGCCTGACCCATTCATCAGTCAGCTGATTTAATAGTCACATTAAAATGGGCAAAAATCTGCTGGGTTTTTTCCCTCCCCTATTTTTGCATTTTTTTCCCTTATAAATGAACACATTATAGGATAACACAAAAATGCACCCCCCCCAAAAAAAAAAAACAACTGCAGATTTTTGCTGGTTTTCCAGTTGTCGCTATTATAAAAAAATGCATATAAAATGTTCTGACAGTCATTCATATCTTTATTGTTGTAAGCATTAAAGGACCAAAAAATAAGTTCTGCTATTAATTATAGATTTTTCAAACGATTAATTGGTTATCTATAGTGAAAATCTGCATATAATTGACGCCCAAGGATATGCACTGAGGGGAAAAAAAATGTAACGCCCCCCCAAAAAAATCTTCAAAAAACACTGATGAATGGAAAAAAGGGTTTGGCTCAACCAAAAAAAAACTATTGAAAAAACTGCAAATATGTAAATTGCAAATATTCGAACTCTATCTCTGAGATGACTTTTGAAGATTTTTGTTCAGTGAGCTCTATAGCTTCATTTTTACTCGGTTACTTTTTATTCTTTTCTTTTTATCAATTCAACGGTCTTTGAAGCACTTGTAACCAATCATCAATTGATTTTTGAAAATGTTTTCACAAGATGGATGACTTTTTGAATGTTCCCAACTCCTGTTTCCATGCCAATATTGTGCCAATGTCTGTATGGATACCGCGCATTCCATTTCGCCTCGGTGGCTTCATGACGCAATCAATCCACATCCCCAATTGATAATTATGCCTAAAAAAAAAAAATTAAAAAAGTCACAGGATCTGCACACACAGTTGATGAGCACATTGCTGGTTTTGATCGAACATTCAAGCGCCCGTGGGAACTCTGCGTAAAAGCAGGACGCTTCCCAAAATAATCCGGTTGCGTCTTCATCACGTGAGGGATGAAGGGCAGCTTGCATGTAATTAAGCAGCGGCGGGCTCAGCGGGGGAGGTAGAAAATGACCGGCTTCCACTTGGAAAGCTCAGAGTCAGCCGCACTCCAGTGAGGCCTGCCTCTTCGCGGCCTTAATGCAGCAAAATCGATGAGACTTAATTCACCTATCATTGTGCGAGTCATGTGTCATTTTTAATGGCGCCGCCACTGAATCAAATTCAAAGGCAAACTGCAGTTAATGCTGTGAAAGGGAAATGATAGTTTTGGATTGTTTTTTTTTTGGGGGGGAGGGGGGAAGCTGGGGGGTTCCTCCAACTGGGGAGAATTCTTTCCAGGCATCCTCGCCATAATCACAACCATAGCAGGGTGGATATCAAAACGAAGTGCCTTTAGTGTTATCAGAATCACTCACTCATCATGGAAATGTCGAAAAATAATGAAACACTGAGGTCTCATTGTACCGCGAGTGGCCAAACATTTGCACACATTCCAGTACAACGATAAGTCACTTCTTTCTACTATGGAGGCTGAAACAGCGGCTAATTGCCTGAGCAAATATTTACACGAAGGTTTCATACTTTTCAACGTATGATGTGTATTGGCGAATGCTATCAAGTTAAACAAGTCCACACTGTTCTACGGGAGTGTTAAAAAAAACTTTCAGGAATCGGAAATCTTTTCGCTAAGCATTACAATGAATCAATTAGAGGAAGCCAGAGTTCAAAGCAAGCATGGTGAGGCAGCATTTAGCAGTTATGCTGCACACAAATGGACTATGATGCCAGCAGTAGTGAAGTCAATCCAAATGTAAATGTTTTTAATACTACACCTTTGAGTCGAAGAGGAAGCCTTTATTCTTTGAAATGTATTGCCGGCATCAGGTGGAATCCTCAAAAACCTTCAAAATCATCACTTTTCAAAAAGCCGCATGTTTGTTCAACCGCTAACATTGCATCGTCAAAGAGAGCAAGTCGGTTTCAACACTTTACATGGGTCAATTTTGGACTTGTAATAATAGATTTATTTTAAAAATACATTAAAAATACTGAGGGTTGTCATATTTGTGTGATGAAATCACAGACATAAGAAAATGGCCCAAAGCGAAGGAAGAGGGAAGTCATTGTTAGCTTGATTAGCATCCCGGTGCCCAAATACAGGTATGCACTGATTCAAAAGATACAACCTAAAAATATATTGCAAATCATTTTGTGGCTCGTGGACCCCCGGTTGAAAAGCACCGCAACACCCCAACAAAAAAAAATGTTTACCTCTCATAGACAACAACACAGCATGAGCCAATGAGCACAACCACAATAAAAAAAAAAATCATAATAATAATTCACCGCTAATTCACAAGCCTGCCTGCAAAACACATCACAGCGCACGTTGTAACTTTGTGCACTCGACAAAAGCCCTCTTTCTCTTTCCCTCATCAATTATTTACGGCGCCCCCTCTCAGAGAGGAGGGCGCAGCAGCGGCGGCATCATCATCAGACGCCGTGCAAACACAAACATACACAAGCATTTTGTCGCGGGCCCTGTGGGTGTGATAAAGTTCAAACAAGTTGTGCGTGTCAGCCAAACAGTCAATCTACACAACAAGCGAACGAGCGCCAGGCAGGAGCTACGCACAACAACAAGAGGGCATATACGGGGGAACGCTGCGAATATTCCCTGAAGAAAGGGTGTAATTAAGAGAAACGTATTCGGCGCTAATTGTCTTCAAAAGCATAGGAGGAAGATGGAGGGAAATGGCGGCGTGCAAACACACAACACACTGAACGGGGGGGGGGGGGGCAAAAGGAGCAAAGTCTCAGGGGGGTTGCCTTTTGCTGTCGTAATACAAGTTGTAATTACACTGGTGCCTTGACTTAGAGCTTTAATTTGTTCCGTGGCCATATTTGTAACTCATAACATTTGTGTCTATAATTATCTTTAGCCCACTGAAATTAATAGAAATACCAATAATCCACACAGCCTGACAAATATATATTCCCCCTTCCCCCCAAAAATGGTTTTAAAATAAGCAAAATAGCACTGCACAATATTAAACTTTGTTAAAAAAAATAAATAAATAAAAATAAAATAAATAAAGGACATTAATTACAAAACTGAATGCATCATGATTTCATACTTCCGATACCCAGTGACAGTGTGCTGCTCCTGGTCTGCAGTCCTTGGCTGCTAAATTTATAAAGAATAGACGCCTGTGAGTACTGTCTGTCGACATGTGTTGCTGCATTGTTTGTGTTCAAATAGCCATTGCTTAATGCAGAGGTTGGATAGGTGGTACCACCGATGGCAAAGAGGATAATAACCATAGAACCAATAACAATAATGGCTGACAAAAAGTAAAAACAAAAATTGGAGTTGAACATTATTTTGATTTTCTTTAGGGTTTTCTGGGCCTTTTTATGGTCCCTACCAGTTCTGGCAAAGATGATGATGACCATGAATATAACAAATATGATAAAAAAAATATATAACAAATCCTTCAAAGGATGATCATCATTTGTCTTTTTTCTTTTGGTTTTGGCTTTTAAGGACACAAGTGATGGGAATAAGGGAATGTAGGATGACAACCATGGAAGCGGAACATCCATACGCCCTAAAAGTGATGACAGTTGTAGGACCAGAAAATATGTCACAAAAGTCAAACACGCAAAGCCTGGAACATCCTGACTAAACACAAATTCTGGGAAAACTGTTTTGGAGTGGGAACTTAAAAGTAAACCAGCATCAGATTAGGTTCCACTTTATAGAGCTCCAACTATCATGATGAAGAAACAAAAGCAGGAGAATGAATCCCTGATCTCACATTTCCAAACACCTGCTTCGTGCGCGCTATGCCCGCATCCCTTGAAATTTCGGCGAAAATTGATTTAGCGGCTTCATTGAATTTCCCTCGAATTCCCCTGAAAGTTGCGAGGAGGGAGGGAAGGGAAGGTGGTGTGCGTGGAGAGGTTATGGGGATCCGCCGCTGATCGTGTACGGAACCGCTGACACACTACAAAAAAAACCCATAGGCACACACACATAGGCTCATAAATCATAATGCCGGCTAATATTTCAAGACGCATCTTGCCACATGGCATAAACACCGAAGGGGGGGGCGGGGGGGTGTTCCATAATTACATAAGGCTCACAAAGGTGTATGTGCGCCTCTATTGAACAGCTGAGTGTTATAACACCCACACCTTCAATTATGACAATTAATAAATGGCTTCCTTAACTGGGCAGCTAATAATTCATCATGGTTGTATTCTGACAACACAAGGCGGCTTTGCAAACTTTCTCCGAGGGCAACTTCTAACTGCACTGATTGAATGCTGTTCAAAAAAAAAATTATATATATATATATATTAAAGAGAGATAGAGATTCACACATACAGCCCACAACAATAACAAACATTTTTAACTTGACCTTTTTTTTTTTTTTTTTTAATATTTGGATTGCGCACTATTACCTTAGGCGCTCATACGCCACAAATTACAGACTACCAAAATTGCCCCTCAATAAATCAAGGCTCCTTTTCAAATACCTTCAATAAAAAGTTATTATAATGATGACGATGCTTGAGGGGATTCACCGGAGGGACATTTTCTTTTTTTCAAGGTGCAAAGTGGTGCAAATAAAAACAGACAAATGACGTTAAGAGATGTCTGTCATTACCTGCGAAAGTTCTATCTAAAAGAAAAAGAAAAAAAAAAAACAAGCTCACATACTGAACATACGTGAGTTGCATGGTGTACGACCTTGTGGCAGCTGCATTGGAAAGCATTTTTCAAGAGGTGCTGGGAGAGGGTGCGCAGTGTGCAACAAGTGAGTAAAGTCTCTCTCCCTCTCCCGCTCTCTCGCTTGCAGCCATGAAGATTAGATATGGCTCCCAACAGGCCCTGGGAGCGCTAATCAAATGGGAAATGTAAGGCGAGACTCAACTCCGTAGCAACACATCGCTGGATAAAAATGGTGCGCCGTTTTGTTTACTTGACAATGTTGATTTGGGGCAGCGGAAATATTTTTAAACGAGAAAGTAGATGTTTTCGCAGACCAAATTGTGGCCAGTTCTGTCTAAATGCTAAAGGAAACTGGTTTGTATTGTTGTGTTTTGTTTTGTTTTTTTGCCAGGCACCCCCTTCTACGCACCCTTGCGTTACTTCATGAAATCTATGCAGACAGTAAGCAAGAGTTGGAAAAAAAGTCTGTTGTATGCGGGACAACTATGCGCCAAATCAACAGAGCAGTTTTCCCCCAAAATTTTAGGCCACAAAACCATTTTCAGGTCCTGACAGATTTGCTGCATCCTCGTATGAATTCCTTCAAGAAAGAATATTCACATCATCGTACGCATCGAGTATGTCTTTTTTAACGTATATTTCCAAGGGACAAGAGTCCTAAAAACTGTAAAGCCAATTTTTACAACAGATAAACTTTTAGCTGACGTGCCCAACTAGAGCTTCAGAAAAGTTGCCTTGAAATTTTGAGTTCACTTAACATTTTTTACAGTGTACGTACCACTAATGGTGTGCCGGTTCCCTCTAGTGGTAGATGAAAGAATCACTGAATTCATTCTTCAAACTCTACATACATCATGTTACAGTGGCCCAAACTTGTTTTCATTCCAGAAGGGCACATTTGTTCAGCACAGTTCGGTTGTATTTAACTTTTAAACGTGCTACGATAGCTCATTGCATTTGAATGTAATCTTTTCGCAGTTTTCCAATTTTCGACCAATTTAGGCCCCATTTCGATGTAACTTATGCGGGCAATACATATTAATTTGAATTCATCAGTCAAGTATTTATTTGCAATTATTTCCCTCAATTGATGCTCATGTTTCAAAGCATGCATAACGCTACAATGGCAAGATTAAGGAAACCTTTTAGGAAGATCCTCTCTGCCCCTTGTTTTTTATGAACATTTGGGACTAGAACGCTTCTGTATTTTAAAGTTGGTCAAGATAGAAGACACAGTTTTGTTTTGTTTTTTCTTTAGGTGGTACTTGGTGTAAAACATTTGAGAACCACTTCAATAAAGCCATAAAACAATGTCATGGTGTCATCCGTTTTACCAGGCTGTGACATCATCCCCTACTGGCCACATCAAGCAACAAACAGACCCGAGCTGTACGATCGCAACACACTTGACTGCACCTCCAAGTGAGCTCACAATGTCTTAACCAGTTCCCTGCCTGTTGCCAAAAATCCAATGTAAACAGCGAACCCCCCTCGTTTCCCTCCCCCCATTTTCCAGCCATACAGCGTCAAGATAAGCATGAGCGAAACCTCCATGGGAACTCCTATCTACCGCTCCGAGGAAGGATCTCCAAAACAAAGCCCCGAGAACCCCGCGAGGTCCTCAAAAGTAAGAAGGCACTGCGACTCATCACAAGCGAGGAGATTCAAAACCCTTTAGTTGTGCCTAATTGAATGCGGCGCAGGAGAACAGAGCGGAAATGTCATTACGAGATGACACAAGAGCTAGCTAGCGCCTCTATTTTAGAGTGTTTTTCACGGGATGGGGTTCGTCTAAAGGGGAGGGGGTTAAGTCCTGGGTGGGCTCCACTGGTAGAGACAGTCATCAAATCAACTGTGTCAGCGAAAGCCTCTCGTCCCCTTTCCTCGCCCGCGCCGTAATCCAATCGCGCCCAAGTGTAAATAAAAAGTGTGCCTTCTTGCGGCGCTGTCAGGTAGGAGGAAAGGGGAGGGGGGGCAGGGAAAAGAACATGAGAACACACGCACCCTCCTCATCATTTTCACTAAAACCAACTTTCACCACATGAGACGCGGGCGCCCAGGGAGGGCTCCGCCGATTAAAAATGCAAAGCGGAGAAAAGTGGACGTGAGGGATCTCGATCGGAGCTCATTAGCATATCCGCAGATCGTTCGCACCCCTGTACGGGAAAAATTGGGGGGGACAATTCATTGGGAAAAGACAAATTAATTAAATGTAATGCAAGTTGGGCATGATTTGTTTTTTGGAAAATGTTTACATTGGTGCGTATTGCACTTGCACTCGCATCCGAATCACCTTTTTAATCAAAGTAGCCGACATAAAAAGTTGATCGCGTCACAGTGAAGCAAATAAATCCCTCAACGTTTAGGTATGTGAAAATGTATCTCATTTTTTCTGAGTAGCACCTTAAATAGGGGTTAATCAAGCGTTTCTAAACATTAATAACAATGTAATAAACGCTTTATAAAAGTTCATAAACATGACTGCGCACAACAACAAAGTGCAGGTTCACTATTTCGTGATTTCATGCTTGTTATATGTCAATCATTCCAGATTAGTTTGTAGTACAGTACATCAGAAAACTTTGGCACTATTTATGAACATTTTAATGATGAGGCACCGCATTAATATGGTTTCAAAAGATTTCATTAAACCATTTGCATGACTAGTCACCTTTAAAAAGATATATTATAATGGCCGTTTTAACCAAATATGATTACCTGGGTTTAACGGTTTAAAAAATGACTACGGTCAGCACTGGCTCACTATTTGGCAAGTTCGTGTTTAGGGCGACATAACTCAATCATTCGATGACTTAATGTCATTTCATACTATTGTAAGTAAGTGTGAAACATAATTAAAAAGGCGTGATATAATGACATTTAGGATTAATGAATCAATAATGCTAAATGTGTGTTCACTATTTGGCAAGTTGCTGCTAGAGCCGTGCCATTTATCCACTTGATGCCATTTAAAATTTAAATAGGTTAAGTAAGTGGAATAAATATAATTGAAAAAAAGGGCGTGCTATAATGACAAGTACGATTAAAGAATCATTCAAGCTTAAAGTGGGTTCACTATTTAGCAAGTTGAGGACTGGGCAACACTACTTACCCATTAGGTGAGTTTATGCTGTTTAAGACTAAAAGATATTATAAGTAACAGGAATAAATATAATTTAAGAGCTGCTGTATATATGTAACATACAGAAGTAGTAAATCAGTCAAGCTAAATGCGGGCTCACTATTTGGCAAATGTAAAAGTAACTCACTGGTCAGCTCTTCGCACTTGATAACAATACAAACATATTTCATGAAGCATTATTGTGAATCCGAATCAATGCGGCTTCTCCTCTACTTAAGTATGTGCAATATAAAACAATGACAGATTTCAATTGGTGACTTTTTGTAACGAGGGCCACAATGGCCAAGCTTGTGAATACAACACGGTCGTGTACCTCTGTGCGTGAGCACCTGTGTGTGCATGTGTGTGTGCGGCCTGAAGCCCAAGCTGACAGATGCAAGCCCAGTAGTGACTGTGCATAATGTGCTTCTTATTGAGCAAGTGACTTGGTCGCAAGCAAAACATTAGTTTTATCAATTCAACTCATATGCGTGGACTCAGCAGTAATAATAACAACGAGAATGGCGATGATAACAACACAGCCAGAAATGCATTCACATGTCAAGCTTCTGCTTGCTTGCTTGCTGCTATAGGTGTTTATAATTGAATTCAGCATTAAGGAGCCTCCAGTCATAAAACTAAAAGGGAGAGGCAAAGGCGGGAGGAGTGGAAGGAGAACTGTACACTGCAGTGTAAAAAAATAAATAAAGAAATACAGGAGTAATCAATAGGAAACAATTAAACACATTAACATCAGCGGCAGTGGGAGGGGTGGTCTCTGAGAGAAGCATTATATGCAATGTGAACTTGACATTGATGCCTGGCGTTGCATTATAAGGCAAGCACACACACACACACACACACACACACACACACACACACACACACACACAAAACCTTCGTGCACCTCTGCGGAGACGATCCACAGCAGCTTTGCAACACTCCCACAGCCTCCTCGCGTGGAAAGCCCCCCCCTTAACTCTTTCCCTTTCTTTTTTTTAATAGTGGCCTACAGCTAAAGCTTAGCGGCTAACGCGTAATTGTCTCTCCATGGTGCGCGCACACACAGACACACAAATACACTCGCATTACGCACGCATGAGTGCACCCAATCAAAAGACTTAAAACAATAACTAAGGCAATTGTAGCGCGTTTAGCTTTTGACCCCACCGGCACATCCCGCATGCAGAAACGAGCGCGCACACCATTTAAGACTCAATATGTAGGCCAAACACTTAAAAGAATTTCAGAGCCAACAAGACGTGTTGCGTTCAAGACAAGTGGAAAGCGTAGTCGGCAAGGGAACGCTGCGTTCACGTCCAAGATCGACAAGGTTTCCGAACAATTAAAAACTAAATCAAACGAGATACCATGAGCCGTGTCGCCGTGTTGCGGGCAAGACACGAGAAAAATAATCGACAAGATCCCCATACAGATTTCAAATCGACATCTAACGCACGCACACACACACACACACACACACACACACACACACACACACACACAAACACACACACACACACACACACACACAAACACACACACACACACACACACACACGTTCGATTCATATAGAACGAGTAAGAGATGGGGCGTTGACGTACAACATCAACCAAGTCTTTTGTGAAATCAATATCTTACAAACCGTGTCGAGGGTGGGCTCAAAACTCACACTCGCAATAGAATAGACGATAAGAGAGTGGTGCGTCTCACCAAACAATGACAAAAATAAAGCTCAACACACACACACACACAAACACGAACACACGCACACGCGCGCGCACTCGCTTCTAAAACACGCGCGCGCAGACACACACACAGTACATGCATCAGAAAGTGGTGCGTTCACTTACATGATCAGCGAGGTTCGTCGACGAGCCGGACAGCTCTTCGTGGTCCGATTTGGAACTTCCATCCCGCTCGTCAATCACTAAATCTATTGGCATTTTTCCTTTCAAACAGCTGATGTACCGATGGCAGAAATTGTCACAAAGCTCGTGAACCTTGAAGGAAAAATAAATCCAATTACGACGATTTTTGTTTTCAGCATGTGGGGAGAACGCTTGAAGCGATCCGACAATAACTCCAATTAAATGGGGGTTGCAAACAATAAGCAAACTGTTGCTTTGTGATTATTTTCCCGAGACATGCAGCAACAAGTTAAAGCGTAAGAAGCGCAAGCAAATAAAAGACAAATAAGGATAAAATCATCATCTAAAATCCAAATGAAGCGCAGCGCGCAGCGGTTGAAAACAGATACGTGCATGCGGATCAATAACGTGGACCAAAGGGGCTTAATTGAGCACCAATTGTTACTTGAGCTGCTGAAATAGCTGCCCTGCATTAAATATGACTATTTATTCCGAAAACACCGCAGCGTCGTCCACAGACCAGCTTATATTTAACAAAATCAAAGAAAGAAAAACGTGCATGTTCTCATTCTCACGCACGATTTTTGTTTTTACCTTTTCTAATTCCAAGAGGTGAAACCGTAATACTTGTATGGCTTGTATCATCTGAAACACATGCAAATAAAAATAACATCCATCAGTAAAATGAAGACTCGTTATAATATGACAATCGTTGGAAGCAATTTATATTGATCTTTAAAACGACTTGCCACAATTATTTTTTTTTTTTTACATTCGAAATCTATAATGAGTTCGTCATGGACACTCCAAAGTGGACTTACCAAATTGTCCAACTCTGGATTCGATGAAAATAAAGGTTTTTCTGCTCGGACCTAAAAGTCAACAATAAGGAAAAGTTCGGTGAATATCTGTGCGTTGAATGCCTTGTATTGGAAAAAATCCCATTTGGGTGCTAGTGTCGGTTGTGGACCTGCTTGGCGAACACCGCGATGTCCTCGTTGAAGGAGTCCGAGGAGCACACGTCTCCCCCGGCCACGCCGGGTTCCCTCGGCGTGCACGTCGCCAGTTCGCATTTCTCGAAAACCAGAGCCAGCAACGGGAAGAGGGGATGCCTGCACGGGGGCGAGCAAACACGGACTGAGCACCGAGCAGCGTGTCGGTAACGTTGGAGCACGCATCCAACCTGCATCCAAACACTTTTTTGGATCACTTTTTTTTTTCATACACCCCTCCAAAAAACTACTACATGCTTTTAAAAGCCCGCACGGTGATATTTCTTTTTTTTTAATGATGATAAGCTGCTTTTAACCACATTTCTAACCTCTCATTGATCCGCATGGCGGAGACTGACGTTTTCTTAAGTGCACCGTGACAAGCGTGAGAAGTGCAACACAAAAGTGAAACGCACACACACACGGCGGGTAGAATTCGGGCAAAGACTCTTACTATTATTTTTGTGTATATTTATCAGGCGCGGAGGAAGTTTTTAAATTTGCGTGCGGCGCTGACAGCTGAAAATACAATTCTTAACTCACGAGTCTGCGCACTCGCTTTTGCGTGGTGAAATCACAAATGTAGTGAAACATGTCAACTTATTTGGAGCTGTGCATTTTAAATACACGTAAGAATACGTTTGCATGAAAAAAAAACATGCAAAAGTGAGCACTAGAGCACAACGTTATTTACAAAAACCCGTACTGCACGCTGAGAACGTACCATTGCACGTACACATTTAAAAAAAATGAAGATTCCATAACGCCGTAATTTGTGATCTGCGCGACACTCTCACTGTAATCTAGAAGTACATTTTATCAAGTCGCATAATTAATATTGATATTTTCTTCTTACTGGGGAATTGTTTGTCATGTCATTTATTTTACACGCTACATTTTTTTAAGAGCTTGGTACTCTTTTTAGACTTGTGACAAAAAGCGTTTCAACCCCTTCAAACAAACCCTGCAAAAAGTGTCCGCTCCAATTTGAGACCAAAATAAAGATTGTAGCATGCAAAAAAAAAAAAAAAGAAGAAGAGCATGCACAGCTTACCCATAAATCTGGTCCTTATCCCTCTTTAGGACGTCGTTGACGGCCGAGCCCATGCTGGTGGGCATGACGTTGGGGTGGGGAGCGTGGGCTCCGTAGTGCTGGCTGGCGTGTAGCGGCGGTCCGTGGTTGAGGTGGTGGACCTGCGGGAGCGGCCGGGGTGCGTGCGGGTCCCCGTACATGGACGCCGATACGCCGTCCATGCCCCCGTAGTGGGCCAGCTCGTCGTACTGAGGGAGCGGACGGAACGGGATAGAAGTTAGCGCCGGGCTGTGGGACTTTTAGGCGCTTTTTCCGGTGGAGTTTGGTGGAAGTGGTGGTGACGGAAAAGGTGGTGGGATGTTTACGGAGAAGTGCAGTGGAACAGTACTTACCCTTTGCGCCATCAGGCTCCGATAAACTCCCTAATATGCCGTACTGATTTATTTTTTATTTTTTTGCTGTGTGCAATATTTAGTATCCCTCTCGTCCGCGTGGAAAAAAAAAATCCCAGCTCTCTCTTGCCTCCTCCTTTTTTCGACTAACTTTTTGTTTTGTTTGGGCGAATTGTCCTATTCGCCGGAGCGGTTGCGCCGAAATCGTCGCATCCGATTGTCCTCCCAAGGAAAATATTCAAAATTTTTCAAAAGTGTCCAAAAATACGTTGGAAGGTTTACAATTGGCCCATCAACGAGCGGCGCGTAAAGTCAACTGTCGCTTCTATCATGGCTTTTTGCCACTCCGGCTGTCAATCAAAGCCAGAGGTTGTCAAGGTAATGAATGAATGACGCTCGGCGATGATGTTCAAGTTTTCTCTCTCTCTCTCTCTCTCTCTCTCCCTCGCTCACCCTCTCCCTTCTTGTTTTTTTTTCGGGTGCCGTGCGCGTTAGTTCGGTGTCCTCCCCCCGTAAGTCCTCTTCGCTCTGTCTCCTTTAAATGTCTGCTTCGCCCCAGTGTGGACTTTTTGCACAAGCGGACGGCGTGGGAGGAGGGTAAAAAAAAACAAAAAAAAAAAAACGGGGAAAGAAAATTCAAAAGAAATGTCTGTCCGGGTCCGTCGCTTGCTTGGTTGGTGCTGTCTGGCTTGGTAGCTGGCTGGTGAGTGAATGAGTGTCAGCGAGTGTTGTCAGCTTGGCGGCCGGCTCGCGTCCTCCGAACACACTGAGTGAGCGCGCCGAGCGCACCGAGCGGTGGGCGAGCGCAATGACGGATCCCGGAAGTGGCGTGCTGGCCCCAGCCAGTGGTGCTGCGCCAAGGCAAGGCGAAGAGCTCTCCCACGCGAGAGAGAGGAGAGACCCACTCTTCCTCCTAATGTGTGTGTGTGTGTACCGTGTGTAGTCGTAGACACACGAACCTGCTCCTCCTTCTCTTCCTCCTCCTCTTCTGCCTTTCACCCACTATAAGTATCCAAAACTCTCTCTCCCCACCCACCCAAAATACTTTTGGGATTTGGACAGCAGCAACACAACACCGCACACTTCTGCAACATGCGACACTCACTACATGCACACACATATGTGCACATTCGTGTATACATGATATACATACCTAAATATAAACATATTATATCTATCTATCTATGACACATACATACATATATAGTTACTAACATTTTCTTTTTAAATGTGACATTTCTCCCAAGTACAACCTAAGGGTAACAAACTGTTTTTTTCTCATAAAAAGTGGTAATAGTGTAAAAAGTAACACTACCGCTGCTAATGACTTTATCTTCGATGATACTGTAGTAGTATTCCGAAACATACATGTTGAGATACATAGTAAAATTTGGCAATCACGAATGGGCGCCATTAAAGGCAATTCTGATCATGCTTTCAAAGTAGTAAGCGGTACGGTGACAAAAGCCTCCAAGTCTGATAGTATTATGTAGTAAACGTAGCAATAGTGCAACGATCAGATTCCCGAGGGGGGGTAAAATTTTATCAATGAATGTTGAGTCACATTTTAAAATACAGTACACACCGCATCACACCCTGATATTAACAAGTAGTAATAATATCAATCGTGTGGCTGCGACCATTTAAGATGATTGCTATGTAAAAATGTAAACCAGAATCATATGGATGCGATGTAGCGAACATAGATCATTCTGATGTTAAAATGTAGTACCCATATGCAAGAGCGCGGCCGTAAATGTCCACAGGCATCAGTCACTCTTTCCATGTGCACCGACTTCTTTTTAAAACTCAGCCAATAAGATGATGATGAATCTGAGGCTAAAATGTAGTAAACACAGCAATAAACAGCACATTTTTCCACTTGTAGTGACGTCTTTCAAAACACGGCCAACGAAGATGATTCCCATGTTCAAATGGAACCAACGGACAACGCGGCGAGACTGTCGTTTTCGTACCACTGTGCCGAATTTTTCTTTCGCTTTAAACATGATTGGGGATTCCGATTTGAATGGTAAAATGGCCAAATTATGGCTAAGAAAGTTCTATTTTAAATGGTAGTGACTTCTGTATAGATCATTCTGATTCACGTTCTGGTGTTTACAATAAATGAGGTGAAATCAAACACACTAAGGCCGCAAATGACACCTTTCCAATTTCTTTTTACACTCTAAAAATGATTTGGTTTCCAATTCTGGTGTGTAAAAAACCACAACATCGCTGAAAATATCACTCCTTACAATTGCGGGGACTTCGTAGCACTTAAAAGATGATTCCGAATCCAATTCTGGTGTTCGAATTTAGTGGAAACAACAAATGATGGCTGCAAATGTCACTTCTCCCCACTTGTGGTGACTTCTTTTTACACTTTAAAAATGTTACTTCATCCAAATTGAACGCTAAAACAACACAAATCAGGTTGGATTTGTGTTCATTCTGAGAGGGGTAAGTTCTTTTTCACTCCAACAAGAAACATTTAAGAATGCCAATCTCATTGGTTGACGATCGTAGTGCCTTGATGTGCTTCTAAATCAAATCCGAAATAGTTGGAATGTGCTTGGAAGTGTCACTTTTTCTTCATGGTGTTTTCTTTTTTAAAGAAAGGGGGAGTTTTATATTTTTAATAAAGTTGGGATGAAATGCCAGAATAAATCTAACAGTAGTGCAAAAGTGAAGTGATCTGTAGGAGAAAATAATTATCCCTCATGGCTCCGTTTTGAACCTGAAATTCGATTTATTTATTTATCTTTAGAAACAACGTGCCCCCCCAAAAAAACGCAACCATTCATAGACCGAACATGGCAACAATTTGCTGTGCAGCCTAATGCAGACTTGTTTTCTTGGGTTGAGGAACTTTGCTGAAACTATCGCGGCATATCCACCCCCTGTTAACACCAAAAAGAAGGAATTGAACACGAACCGATACAATCAAGGGTGAACACAGGAGTTGCCTTTTTGGAGGTGGAGGGGGCCGCAGGCAGATTAGATGGTTCAGAAGTCACACGAAATTATAAATTCTGATCGTCAGGTGTTGGCTCGTAAACATTCTTGTCACCCTCCATTATTAGATTAGTGAAGTGAGGTGACATTCACATCTTGCTAACAGTTTTGAAATTTAAAAGACAATTTGTAATCCAGATTTTTATATATATATATGCACAATTGGTGATCGCTTGTCACGTCATAATTGTGCTAGTTGATCGGATCCACAAAACACAACAAACACATTATTATTCACTCCACAGACGTTCTGTGCCGCCAACGTTAATAATCTAATGTTTCTCAGCGTATACCGTTGATTTTTCTTTTTTCAATTTGTTTCTAACTCATGCAAATGAAATGCATTGCAAGCCTCTTTTTTTTCTATGTGTGTTCATGCTCCTCTCTTTCCTCTCTTGATAGGAATCAGTGCCTGGGTGTATTTGGTCACTTATCAAAGCATGGCCATGCGGGCATCATCAATCATGAGGGGAGATTGAAACTGAAGAAGAGGAGGAGGCGGACGGGGTGGGGGGGGGGGGAGGAGGAGGAGCAAGGAGGGCATCGTTTGCATGTAAAGACCCTCCAGGAGCTCTTTCGGCACGGGGCCACATCGCTATTTGCCTGACTTTTAATATTGGACGAGGATGAGGATGATGAAGAAGTTGCAAAGAAAAAGGGGGGGGGGTAGGAGGAGCTGTAGGGAGGCCGACCTGAAACAAACAAAAAAAAGGGGGTTAATAAATGCAAGGTGACAACAGTTACGTTGGCATACAGGAGGGTCGTGTGCGGTGGAGCGAGGGGTGGGGTGGGGGTTGGGGGGTCGCTTGGGCGGGTGTGGGAAGTGCAAAGGATCGCAAGCAAGGCTTTGACAAACGGCTGCGTGGACATTTCAAGCAGCAATTCCCCGGGAAGGAGCACGCACACGCCGAGAGAGCGAGTGAGAGAAAAGAGAAAGAGAGAAAAGAGAGAGAGGGAGAGAAAAACACAAGCAGCGTGGATGAACGCCACTCCACTCTGAGAATTGGTTCCCCCCCCCAAAAAAAATCACCACTAATATTGGATTACTCCGGTAAGTCAAGCGCGTGCTTCATTGCCATATTTTTTGCATGCTTTCATTATGTTAAAAAAAAAAAAAGAAACGCATAAATTGATAGAAAATAAAATATTGAAATTGTATAACACGTCGTGTGTTTCTTTCCCATCGCGTGGATTTAAAGGTGGGAATAGGTGTGTGATTTTTTTTTCGTAGCCCCCCCTAAGCAGAGTGATGTGAGCAGGCAAAAGAGCGTGTGAAAACAGTGGAGCTTAATTACGCGTGTCCAATGTAAGGCTCTTCCACGCACACACACAAGCGCACTCGACACCGCTTGCCTGGAAAAAAAAAAGCAGAGAAAAAGAGAGAGAGTGGGTGGGGGGGGGACTCCTAATGAAAGACAACAAAATCAGTTTTAATCATGTGTTTTCATTTAAAATGTTATTCCACAAAATGTCTTTTTTTAAAACGTTTTTATGTTGTAAACGGCTGCGCAAATGTGGCTTTTGACCGAAGATGAACCACATTGACTCACTTCTGTGTTCAACGTTTCAACAATGAAACGCATTGAAGACATTTACGGCATGCAAATGTGGCGATTCAATTGACTAGTCAAAAACTGGAGCACAGTAGGGATATTTGCGTTATTCGTTGTTTAATAAAAGCATCACGTGATTATACTACAGGGTATAATCTAAACATCTGTCATTTCTTGGCCTTTAGAAATAAAATGCACACATAGCGTCAAACAAATTCGCACTATTTTAACTCATAAAACGCTTTTTTTCCAATCTGGTAATCAGACAATTCCTCTGATTTTTTTCCCTCCTGTCTTAATGTGCATTGTACGATTCGACACATAAGTAACAGGTTCAACAATAAGCTTTTCACATTCAATCTTAATCATCGCTCAATTTGTCCACGCATTCTATCCCCCCCCCCCCCACTCCCACGTCGAACGACTTGTTAATGCGATTTTCAAAGCGGCACCATCGAGAGCGTGCATGGGGCTGTTTGGAAGAGTATTTTCTTGTCCAGTCCGCCGTGTATAAATAGTGGACGGAACCATCCGACGCCATGAACGGACCGGTAACATTTCATCTGCTGGTGTCAAATGGAGGTCAGCGGCGGGTTGAAGCTTTCCGTGTCCGTGTGGGGACGTGGCCAGCTGCGTTTTTTGGACTCATCGCAAGAGTGTGCGTGGAGGTGCGTGCACGTGGACGAGGAGAGGGCTGTGTGTGTGTGTGTGTGTGTGTGGGGGGGGGGGGGTCAATATCAAGGAAAACACGAGTAGGACAATCAAGCAGGCTTAATGACCCCCCAAGACATCCCGAAGAGACGGTACCCCAACCCACCCCAGGCAACAGCTACACATGGTGAGCATTGTTGCTTTTAAATCCTCTTCCACAAACAAACTTGATTTCATTTGAAGTATATTTGTGCTCTTTTTTTTTTTTTTTTTTGACGGTCCAAAAACTCCCACGTTTCTAAACCCGTTAGACTCCCACTCCATGCACCTTCAGGTCGTTTGGAACTTCCCGGGCTATATTTTTTTCACGTTACACAAATGTTAATGTTTGTAATTATTCGGGAGGAAAGATGAAAAAAAATCATTTTAATGTCAGCTTATTTCCGATTCAAATTTCCGCGTTTCTCGTCATTCCATATTTGAATAAAGAAACATCAAGTCAATCTTGTGAGTTCTCCGCGGATTCAAACTGTTCAAATCTTTCAAAACACGTTTTTTTTTCCACGTCCCACAATCTTCCGCAATTCCAAATTTTCCACTAAATTAAACGCTCATTAAAAAGTTCATGGTGAAATGGAACCGATTCACTTCAGATTTTCAAACACTTCAAACTGTTCCATCGGCAAAATGTTCA